TAAGAAATATTCATTTAAAGGATTTAATGTGACTTAGTTGTGAGCCATAAATAAGGGCCTTGGTTTTTCAGAGCAAGTTGTCACTTGTTTGAGTTGTTTCCAAAGATATATAATTTATTTTAGGAAACTTAAGGAAACAATTGACATGCTTTTGCGGCCATTTAGGGTTTACTGATTGTTTAATCTTTTCTGTTTTTTTTTTTTTTTTTTTTTTTAAACATTTATTTATTTATTTGAAAGGCAGAGTTAGAGAGAGAGGGAGAGAAAATTTTCCATCCATGGTTCACTCCCCAAATGGCCACAGTGGCTAGGGCTGAGCTGATCCGAAGCCAGGAGCCAGGAGCTTCTTTTGGGTCTCCCACATGGGTGCATGGGCCCAAGGGTTTGGGCTATCTTCTACTGCTCTCCTAGGCCATTAGCAGGGAGCCAGATTCGAAGTGGGGCAGCCAGGACTTGAACTGGTTCCTATATGGGATGCCAGCATTGCAGGTGGCAGCTTTACCTGCTACAGCACAGTGCCGGCGCCATATTAAATCTTTTCTATATATATATACATATATATATATATATATATTTTTTTTTTTGACAGGCAGAGTGGACAGTGAGAGAGAGAGACAGAGAGAAAGGTCTTCCTTTTGCCGTTGGTTCACCCTCCAATGGCCGCCGCAGCCAGCGCGCTGCGGCCGGCGCACCGCGCTGATCCGATGGCAGGAGCCGGGAGCCAGGTGCTTTTCCTGGTCTCCCATGGGGTGCAGGGCCCAAGCACCTGGGCCATCCTCCACTGCACTCTTGGGCCACAGCAGAGAGCTGGCCTGGAAGAGGGGCAACCGGGACAGAATCCGGCGCCCCGACCGGGACTAGAACCCGGTGTGCCGGCGCCGCTAGGCGGAGGATTAGCCTAGTGAGCCACGGTGCCGGCCCATCTTTTCTATATTGATAGTTTTAATCCTCAGATATTTTTATGGCACCACAAAAGTAATACATGGCCCAGATTTTGTTTTGCATTGCTGTTCTATTCGTCCACATTTATAGGATTTGGATAATTTTTTTTTTAATTTCAAGTAAAATTCACATATTACAAAAAAATGACCATTTGTGGGCTGGCACTGTGGCTCAGCAGGTTAAAGCTGTGGCCTGCAGCACCTGCTGCGCCACAGTGCCAGCCCTCTTGTCTAATTTTTAATATAGAAGTTCTTTAGTGAACTAGGTGTTAAACACTGTCAAATAAACATTATTAATATGGGAAAAAAAATACCAGGCCCTAAAGTTTAAAAGAAATCTTAGCCTCAAATAAAAGACCAGATTTTATGTGTGAACGGCATATAGAGGCCTCTTATTAGACTAGATGTTCAGCCTCACATATATGCAGGATTAGCATCTCCCTTAGGCCATTTTTGGATCCTGAGAACAATTTATATTGGGATGTACGGTATGCGTTTGTTCTCACAGCGATAAATCATCGGTGAAATAGTATCCTCGTCTAGAGAGGAATTCACTGTGTCAAGACTTGAAAATGACACAAACCTGTGATTTATGAGAACTTGGATGAAAAATAAACCACATTTCCAGACCAGTTTTGGAATAATCTGGCAGAAGATTTATATCCAAAATACCCAACTGAATTTTAAAAATCCTGTTTCTTGGCTATTTGGTGGGAGAAAACTGCCTTAGAAATTGTGGAAGATAACCTCACAATTTGAATGAATAGATTTTACAATTGTGTTTCTGTGTCACTTTGGGGAAAAATTAGGTGAATAATTACCCCCCACACACAAATGATTTAGTGAATTTGGATAAAGTTGTTTTTTGTTTGTTTGTTTGTTTTTTTATTGACAAGCAGAGTTAGACAGTGAGAGAGAGAAAGAGAGAGAAAGGTCTTCTTCTGTTGGTTCAACCCCCAAATGGTTGCTTCAGCCAGCACGCTGCGCCAATCCAAAGCCAGGAGCCTGGTGCTTCCTCCTGGTCTCCCATGCAGGTGCAGAGCCCAAGCACTTGGGCCATCCTCCACTGCCCTTCTGGGCCACAGCAGAGAGCTGGACTGGAAGAGGAGCAACCAGGACAGAATCCGGCGCCCTGACTGGGACTAGAAACCAGGGTGCCAGTGCCGTGGGTGGAGGATTAACCTAGTGAGCTGTGGTGCTGGCCTGGATAAAGTATTTTCTATGTCACTTTAGAAGAAAAGTAGTACCACGTGATATTTCAAGACCCAAAATGATATTTCAGCCAAATTTGGGTGATTTTTTTCTGCCATTCTGTAACACAAAAATTTGCATGGGACTTATATATCCAAAGAAACCTACACTGAAAGAAAAACTGACATGGGGCTATTGTGCAAAAAACCTGTACTTTGTAGTGAATTTGGATTTAAAATATAATATTTGGGGGCCATCTTAGAAGAAAATGTGGCACAAGATTGGCATCTAGGGGCTGGCACTGTGGGTCACTTGGTTAATCCTCTGCCTGTGGCACCAGTATCTCATATGGGCGCCGGGTTCTAGTCCCGGCTGCTCCTCTCCCAGTCCAGCTCTCTACTGTGGCCCAGGAGGGCAGTGGAGGATGGCCTAAGTCCTTGGGCCCTGTACCTGCATGGGAGACCAGGAGAAGCACCTGGCTCCTGGCTTCAGATTGTCGCAGCACCGGCCATGGCGGCCATTTGGGGGGTGAACCAATGAAAGGAAGACCTTTCTCTCTCTCTCTCACTGTCTGTAACTCTACCCGTCCCCCCCCCCCAAAAAAAAAGAAGATTGGCATCTAATGAATCTTACAATGTTGCTAAGTTTTAAAAAATGTATTCCAACCATTTGCAAAAAGAATAATCTGGCAAAATACTTATCCAAAAAATCACAATTTATGGAAAGTTGGGTAAGATATCACATTGTTAGGTTACTCTGGAAGAAAATTCTGAAATAGAAATTTTGTCCTAAAACAAGTTGAGCCAATTTAATTGAAAAATCACTTTTCCAGAGCAACTAGTAAGTTTAGGTGTAAAAATCAATGTTTTAAAGTAAACTTGGGTGGCTGGTGCTGTGGTGCAGTGGGTTAATCCTCTGCCTGCGGTGCCAGCATCCCATATGAGCACCAGTTCAAGACCCAGCTGCTCCTTTTCCAATCAAGCTCTCTGCTATGGCCTGGGAAAGCAGTAGAAGATGGCCTAAGTCCTTGGGCCCCTGCACCCGCATGGGAGACCCGAAGTTCCTGGCTCCTGGCTTTGGATCAGCGCAGCTCCGGCCGTTGCAGTCATCTATGGAGTGAACAAGTGGATGGAAGACCTCTCTTTCTGCCTCTGCCTCTCTCTAACTCTTTCAAATAAATAACTAAATCTTAAAAAAAAAAAAAAAAGTGGATGAAAATTTACATTTCCTGGGATGTTTTGTTTGGAAGAAAATTTGACGGTGGGGCTGTAGAAAAAAGTCCACTGACTACCTACCAGACTGCTGTAGCTTTAATAGTTTTGAAATTGAGAAGTCTAAGTCCCCCATCTTTGTTCTCCTAAAAATGTTCTATTGTTAATCTAAAACTCAGGCATATTGAGGCCCCTCACATAGTTGAAGATGTTGGCTGAAGTTTCAGTCTTTGAAGTCCGGACAGGACATCCACAATAGCTCTCTCACACGACTGGAGCTGATGTTCACTGTGGGCTAGCTCAGCTGCAGCTCATGACCTCAGCGTCTCCGTCAATTCCATAGCAGAGCAGAAAGGTTTGAAGCGTAGAAGCAAGTCCCTATCACTTCCATTATAACTCTCTGGAATTCTAAAATCCAGCAATTCAGTTGAGAACATGCTACCAGCCCAGCACTGCCCCAGCGGGAGTGATTCTCCCGTTTTTGTGTCTGCACTCTGAACTATTTTTCTTTTTTCATGAGAAACAGCCTACGTGTGCCTGCCTTCCCACCCATGGAAAAGTAGGGGCTTCTCTTTTCAGACCAAGCTGTTGCTTCTATTACAAACGCCATGGGTTTCCAACCCTCCTTATTGAAGTTCATTCCCTAAGACAAAATCACATTCACAAAAGATCTTCAAGATGAATGCTTCCCTGGTATGGTTGTCAAGATGCTATGGAAAATACTCTGAAAATTCACAGAAACCATTTTAAATAGTTTAGAAGCTTCATACTTAAATCTTACAGAAGTCTTAAAAATAAGTCTTATAGTTACACCTTAAAGGTCACTTATTCTGAGCAAAACCACTTTGGGTGGGAACACAATGGAGAATTAAGGGTAAGAATCTTTAAATATGGTTAAATAGTTTAGCCTGATGGGAGAACTAAGGATTGTGGCTAGGGGACCTTCAATCAGTTAATGAATGGCTGGTGTGGGGTGGGTCCTGGGGTGAACGCAGGACTTACAGTCCAAACCTCTTGATACAGTAGGGCTGATCTGGGAGCAGGGCTTCAGGGATCTTTATTATCAGAGGACTGAGGAAGACATATGGTTAAAGATTGTTACAGTTAATGGAGGGTCAGTGAGGTGGTACTGCTGTGGGTGGGTGAGGATCCTCATGTTCTCGGTGGTCTTATACGGGTATGACTGAGCTCCAAGGCTCTGAGACTATAGACTGCTTGGTCACAGCTGACAGACCAAGCTCTGGTACTGGAGTGCTGGGAACAGTGTATTAGTAAGGATCCCAAGGCAGGAGGCCCAGACACCCAAGTCCAAGAAGAGCAATAAAAGTAGTTAGAGGATGATTTAGCAAAGACCAACAACAGAGCTAGAAGGAGAAGCAAGAAAGGGAGCTGTCACAGAAGCCAAGGAAGGGTGGAGTTGCAGACGACACTAGACTAGAGGAAGCCATATTTTCTGGGAGGTTCCCTTTCCTCTAAAGAAATCACTGAATTACAGCTCCTGGATTCTCTCCCCCACACAAAGGACTGGACTCTCCAATAAATACATGAAGACCCGATTCTTACATCTTCCAAGGAAATGAATTCTTGTGGAATACTAGACAGTATCACTCCTTCTTCCCTATCTTTACAGGTAAGTGAGAGAGATACACAGCCAAGGTAACAGATCTGTAAAGGGGGAAAGTTTATTATAACAAAAGGCCACAAAACATGGAGAAGACAGTGTGTGGAAAGTAAACTAGGTCAGATGTCCTTTGACCACTTACGGAATGCAATCTTCTATTCCATTTCATGTTTCATGGAAGTGTGAAAATTTTGACAGCTGGTCCTCACCACCATCTTCACTTGCCAAGAGAGTACAGAGGACCAGGAGGTTGCCCTGAATAGGCCTCAGAGTCAGGGTGGAGTGGTGGTTTGTGGTGGACAGCCTTTATCTTCCGGTGTCTGCTGAGGTGAGACTTCTGGCTAAAGCCTTGCCCGCACGTCTTGCACACGTGAGGTTTTTCCCCCTTGTGTGTCAGCTGATGTGAGGTGAGGTGTGACTTCTGGGAAAAGCTTTGGCCACACTGCCCACCCCCACAAGGCTTTTCTTCTGAGTGTGTTCGCTTATGCGTGATTAAAGCTGACTTACTGCCAAAGCCGAGTCCACACTGCCTGCACGTGTAAGGCTTCTCCCTCGAGTGTTTCCTCTTGTGCCTGATGAGCCCCGCCTGGTGACTGAAGCCTCGCCCGCACTCCCGGCACACGTACGGCTTCTCCCCTGAGTGTGTCCTCTGGTGTGCGAGGAGGTTGGACTTCTGGCTGAAGCCTCGCCCACACTCCTGGCACACCATGGGCCTCTCCCCTGAGTGTGTCCTCTGGTGTCTGATGAGGTTGGACTGCTGGCTGAAGCCTCGGCCACAGTCCTGGCACACGATGGGCTTCTCCCCTGAGTGTGTGTTCTGGTGTCTGTTGAGGTGTGACTTCAGGCTGAAGCCTCGCCCACACACCCCACACACGTACGGCTTCTCCCCTGTGTGCGTCCTTCTGTGCGAGATGAGGGTTGAATTCTGGCTAAAGCTGTGCCCGCACACTCCACACACATAGGGCTTCTCCTTAGAGTGTGTCCTCTGGTGGTTGACAAGGGTTGTCCTTTGCCTAAAGCAACGCCCGCACTCCTTGCAGGCGTAGGGCTTCTCACCCGAGTGCGTCCTCTGGTGGGAGATGAGGTTTGATCTGTCACTGAAGCCCAGGCCGCAGTCACCGCACACAATGGTCTTCTCCTCCAAGTGCGTCCTCTGGTGTCGGACAACAGCCGACTTCTGGCTAAAGCCTTTGCCGCACTCCCGGCACACGTACGGCTTCTCCCCCGAGTGTGTCCTCTGGTGGATGATGAGGTTGGACTTCTGACTGAAGCCTCGCCCACACTCAGTGCACATATAAGGCTTCTCACCAGAGTGTGTCCTCTCGTGTATGATGAGTGTTGACTTCCGGTTAAAGCCGCGCCCGCACTCCCTGCACACGATGGGCTTCTCCCCTGAGTGGGCCTTCTGGTGTCTGGCCAGGCTCTTTTTCAGACTGAAGCCCTTCTCACACACCCCGCACACGTACGGCTTCTCCCCTGAGTGTATCCTCTGGTGACTAAGCAGGTTTGCCAGCTTGCTGAAGCCCAGCCCGCACTCCCCGCAGTTGACCGTTCCAAATCCTAAGACTTCTATCCTCTTCAACAATTTGGCTGTTTCCTCAGGGTTTCCCGTCTGAGCTGGGCTGGCCTCTGTCTCTTCCCTTCTGATGCCATTCTGAGAGCTGCCTGGCTGCCTTTGTGGCGGCCTGGAGAGTGCTCCCAGAGCCCTCTTCCGTGTCCTTCCAAACAAAGGCCGGGGGCCATCTCTCTCCCGGCCTGCTCTGTCGCTCCAGGAGCCGCCATCCGATGCCTGCTGCTGCTGCTTCTCCTGTTCCCCGGGGTCCAGTTCCCCTGGCTCAGCGTGGCTTTCTGCACACAAGCATGTGAAGATCCAGGGGGGAGGATCACACAGCGTGTGCTGCACGGGGAGTTTCTGAGTGGAGCAATCTGGAGGGCAGAGAGGACCAAGGTGGAGCTCTGGTTTTGTTCCCGCTGCAGAGAGAAAAGTCTGGAGTCACAACGGAGCCTTCAGGGGCAGCCTGAGCAACTCAGCCTAGTTTGATGGCGAGACTCAACTTCCTGTTCTTCAAAGTGCTCCAAACTTCAATGCTTCCCAACCAAGACTCCCTTTACCTGAGCCTACCGTGACCTACCTTCCATCCCACCGTTATGTCTTACATCTGCTACCTAATGGTCCACTCAAAGACCTATAGTCTATAAAAGCAATTCAGGGAGTTTCAAGTGTGGCTTAGGGCCGATATGCCACATATGCAACGGTCTCTACAAAATTACCACCACAGTTACTACTTTTTTTTTTTTTTTTTTTTTTGACAGGCAGAGTGGACAGTGAGAGAGAGAGAGACAGAGAGAAAGGTCTTCCTTTGCCATTGGTTCACCCTCCAATGGCCGCCGCGGCCGGCGCGCTGCGGCCGGCGCACTGCGCTGATCCAATGGCAGCAGCCAGGAGCCAGGTGCTTTTCCTGGTCTCCCATGCGGGTGCAGGGCTCAAGCACCTGGGCCATCCTCCACTGTACTCCCTGGCCACAGCAGAGAGCTGGCCTGGAAGAGGGGCAACCGGGACAGAATCCGGTGCCCCAACCGGGACTAGAACCCGGTGTGCCGGCGCCGCTAGGCGGAGGATTAGCCTAGTGAGCCGCGGCGCCGGCCCACAGTTACTTCTAAAGCACAGCTTCATATTCATGCAATCCAGGTCCACATGGATTTGTTCTGCAACGGAAAGATACCTAGCCCTAGGACCAATGTGGCAATGTCCGACATCCTTGCCCTTTGAGACACAGACTAAAAGAGCAGTCATTCGACAGGAAGGAGAACAGCCGGTACAGGGAGCAGTACAGGGGAGTGGGTAGAGGGAAAGAGTGTGTGAAACACCCAAGTGTGCAGTCTTTGCACTCAGTGACAAGTATCTATTAGATTACACTGTGCCAGGATTGCTACAAGGCCGCAGACTCTCAGCAATGGACCACACACAGTCTAGGCCCCCACTGACAAGAGATGCTCCTTCCGGGCCCTGTTAATTTCTATTCTTAGGGCTGGTGCTGTGGCTCACTTGGCTAATCCTCTGCCTGCAGCGCCAGCACCCCGGGTTCTAGTCCCGGTTGGGGCGCCAGATTCTGTCCCAGTTGCTCCTCTTCCAGTCCAGCTCTCTGCTGTGGCCTGGGAGTGCAGTGGAGGATGGCCCAGGTGCTTGGGCCCTGCACTCGCATGGGAGACCAGAAGGAAGCACCTGGCTCCTGGCTTCGGATCAGCACAGCGCGCCGGCTGTGGCAGCCATTTGGGGGGTGAACCAACGGAAAAGGAAGACCTTTCTCTCTCTGTCTCTCTTTCTCACTGTCAAAAAAATAAATAAATAAATTGCCTTTAAAAACATTTCTATACTTAGTGTAAATAAAGATTGCCTCAGAAATCCACGTAAAGGAGAAATTTTCAATGTAAGGCACCTCCTGTGCAGGAGAAGACAACACTGAATGGACTGCTTCATCACCACTGGCTCTAAGTAGCGGAAGGTAATCCGCGATCAAACAGTTTCAGGAACTGCATATGATCTTGCTGGATTTACTTGAATACTCTTGGCCAAAGAACAATTTAACATTTAAACTCTGTATGCACCTACATTCCAGAATTCTCCCATCCTACACAGAATGCTACTTTTCAACACTAGTTAAATAGCACAGTCCCCCTTGCTTCTCACTGTTCCCACCAAGCAGACCAGTGAATGCCTTCCCTCCGCCGTCTCACTGCCTGGCCAGTCCATAAGCTCAGCTTCCTTCCTTCCAGCAGCTCTGCTAGCCTGGACTTTGGCTCTGATGACAGATGAGAACCCACAGGCGACCCTCAGGCCTGGGTTTCTCAGCAGAGAACGAGCCCTGGCAGCTTTCCCTGATTCTCACTGAGTCTATTTTGCTTATTCTCGGTTGTTCGGGGTCCACAATCTGTAACTGATTTTGTATTTCCATTTCTGGCCAGCAACTACCTTGAGTTTTGGTAACTCTGTAGTTTGTTGGAATTTTTACGTTTAATCTATTGCCTGTTACTTTCTCTTGAATATGTTGAGAAGGGAAGCAAATGCTGGGGTTTTGCCTTGGGTTAAATGCATATATATTAGGTCACAGAGACATGGTAAGCAAGTCTCCCAGCAGCAGGCACTGCTGTTCTGTTCTGGGTAAGCATGCCACTGTGATTTTGATACAGGTATCATTCCACTTACCCTTATGGGAACCAAGGTTTCTATTATTACGTACGCTTAGAACAGTCCTAACATCTGTGTCTGTATATAAAGTGGCAGTTTTACTTATAAAAAACCTAATTCAGAATTACAGCTACCCCTTCCAGGACATTTGAACACAGTTACATCTACATGGGGTGACAGAAGAAAAACAGAACCATTTGGTATTTTAAATGTGTACCTTTTTCTATTTTTTTATCTACTTGAAAGAGTGATAGAAAGCAGAGAGAGGTCCTCCACTCACTGGTTCATTCCCCAAATGCCTGCAAGAGCCAGAGTTGAGTCAGGTCAAAGCCAGGAGCCTGGAACTCCCACCTGGGTCTCCCACATGGGTGGCAGGGACTCAAGCACTTAAACTATCATCTGCTGCCTCCCAGGATGCATTAGCAGGAATCTGGATTGGAACCTCAGGAATCAGGATTAAACCAGCACTCAGAAATGGGCTGCATAGCGTGGCATACTGGGTTAAGCTGCTACCTTTGATGCTGGCATTCCATATAAGCACCAGTTTGAGTCTCAGCTGCTCCTCTTCCAATCCAGCTCCCTGCTAATATGCCTGGGAAAGCAGCGGAAGATGGTCCAAGTACTTGGGCCCCTGCACCCATGTTGGGGGCCTGGAATGAATTCCAGGCTCCTGACTCCTGGCTTTGGCCTGGCCCAGCCCTAGCCATTGTGGCCAACTGGGGAGTAAACAGCAGAAAGAAGATCTCTATATCTGTGTCTCTCCCTCTCTCTCTCTGTAACTGCCATTCAAATAAATAAAGTTTTAAAAATAACAAAAAAATTTTTAAAATAAGCAATGGGAGGCAGGAGTCCATTGCACCAAGGCCTGCCCCAATAAAGCGCTTTCAGTCTTCAGGTAGTCCCATCCTGAGAGGTTTACAGAGATAAATGAGCACCAATACAAATTTAAAACTTGAAAACTCAAGAATATCCAAGTTAAAACCAAAATCAGATTTCCCTTGATAATAACACGCTGGTTCTGAAGGAAATCTTGCCTGTTGCAGCTTGAGTTCTAGCTCAACAGAAAACAGGTAAGCCGTGAGTTAAGCTGCAGCCTCGGATATTAGGTTACACTCTAAGAATGAGAAGCATTTTTTAGAGCTGATAAACTACACAAAGAACTTTATTAGCTGGCATGTAACTACAGAGGTGAGAATGAATACTTTAAAATAGGGTAAAACTTAGAAATCAGACAAATACTTTCTCCTTGATTTTATCAGAGTATAAATATAACATTACATAATGGTGACATAAATCATGGTTCTCTTTCCCAAAAAATGTTTAATTAAACTTCCAAGACTGACATACTGATTTTTAAAGATCCAATAAGCTAATATTGCATTCAAAAATGTTAGATTAGGAAAATGTAGAGATGTGTCCAATTAATATCTTACAATTTATAGACAGTGCTGGAAACTGTGATTCTATACTTATTTTACTCAAAATAAATTCCAGAAATAACATATTTTTCAGGCAATTTTTACTTTCAACACTGATTATATTGCTTTCTAGTTTCCAAGATCTCTGTTAGAAAATCATTATCAGAATTAGTATTTTTGTTTAAAGATTGTCCTGGAGTGCACATTTGACCTAAAGGTTAAGGTATCACTTGAGGCATCGGCGTCTCATTTCAGAGTGCCCGAGCTGCAAGTCTCAGCACTGCTCTTGATATCAGCTTTCTGCTAACGTACACTCTGGGAGGCAGCAATAATGGCTCAAGTACTTGAGTCCCTTACACCCACGTGGGAGACCTGGGTTGAATTTCTGGCTCCTGGCCCAGCCCTGTACAACCTTGTCTTGGATATTTTTTCATTTAAAGGCACTTTATTTAATATATACGTTGTTGCTTCAGTAACATGAACTCACACCAACAGCCCTAAAACTCATGTGGCAGACATGTAGGGAGTAAACAAAAAGGGAGATTTCTCTCTCTCTCCATCTTTCTGCCTCTCAAATAAATAATAAAAATTTAAAAATAAAAAATTCCTAATAAAATACAAAAAGCAAAACAATATAGCCTTCATGCAGGAACTTTACTGTATTTTTGTCTAAACTAAAGCAATCAATCTTATATTAAATTTATTATTTCAGAGACTGAAAAGTAAAACTTCACTGTCCATCAGCACTGTATAATATACATGGCTAACCACATATACAATTATATTTCATTATCAAGAAACAGAAAGCTGAAAACTGATAAGAAAAGTGGCAATTAAAGGGGAACTATGACTTGGTATATAATCTCTCTCCTCCATATGAAAAATAATTTATTTTTGTCTTCGGTAAGCTCTACTTAGACATCAAAGCTTTATTTTTACCTCACCACACATCCATTTTCAATCCTCGAGATTCTCATTCTTAGGAGAGTGTTCTGCTCACCTGGACAGGCGGCCAGTGGACATCTTCTGTCCTCTCTCCAGGTCTCTTTCCCTTGTTCCAGCTGAGTGATGAGTTTTGGTTTAGAAAATGGAATTCCTGCTCACAGAAAAAGAAAATAGGTGACTGCAGGGCATAAGCTCAAGGATCCAGTCAAGAGTTCAGAGCCAAACTGGGCGGTACTGGGACCAGAGAGGAGTGGGCTCTGAGCAATGGAAGGGCTGAGTAGGGAAGGCGAACTTGGACGAATGCCAACTGCTTCTCCAGCAGGCCAGGTGAGTGAACACGCGTCTCCTTTAAAAGCAGTCAGCAAGTAAACTAAGGCAGAAAGCTGCAGTCTAGGGGAAAAGGCATAAAATGGAAAGTAACCCCCACCCCACTCTGACACAGAGACATGCACACACATACCTCCCACTGTCAACTCTATAAAATCAGACCTTCCCTGGGGAAACAGAACAAAATGTCTTTGCTTTTGAGTCCAGCACAAAAGCCAAGTCAGGGGGTCAGTGTTAGGTTGCAGTGGGTCAAGCCACCACTTGAGACACCAGCATCCCATGTCAGAGTACTTGTTTGAGTCCTGGCTATTCCACTTCCAATCCAGCTCCCTGGATGATGTTCCAGGTTCCTGGTTTCAGCCTGGCCCTGCCCCAGATACTGCAGTCATTTGGGGAGTAAAATATCACATGGAAAATCTCTGTGTGTGTATGTGTGTGTGACTCGGTCTTATAAATAAGTATTTTTAAAAGCCAACTCAGAAACCAAAATGGCCGCTTCAAGCATGACCTACAATTCCCAGCAGTAAGCATGTGAAAGGTAAGAGCCCACGCTTACCCAGGGAGACCAGGTTGCTGTAGTTCTCCAGCATCACCTCTCTGTACAGAGTCCTCTGAGCAGGACTCAGCAGGCTCCACTCCTCTTGGGTGAAATCCACAGCCACATCTTTGAAAGCCATGTGTGCCTGTAACACAAAACACAGCCCTGCTCACCCAGTGCCTGCCCAGGGAGAGAAGTCTACCAGAAGGCTGCCTGGGGAGGCAGGTGATACATCTAGACTTTGCCTTTGACCGTGACCCTGGTGCCATGTGTTCCAAGACCTTCAAACCTGCTTCTATCCAGCCAGCAGCATTTGTGAACCCATATGCTCAAAGTCCTAGGTGGGCTGTTTGGGGTATAAATGCAAAAATTAAAAAATCAGGAACTTCAAATCTAGGCAGACAGACAAGCCAAACAACACAAAAATTAAAAGCACAGCAGCCATTGAGTTTAAGAATTTAAAAGGTCAAATAGCCTAGCCAGTCATATTAGTGTTGATGTGTATGAGTGACTGAAGTTCATACAATCTAACAACGGTAAAGACAATACAACTTGGTGCTCCCTGTAAACTGCACAGCCCCTCAGCCTTCTCGGACTGACAGACTCAAGCAGCGAGAGATGAAGTATGTGAGTCATAGTGCCTGTGTTTGAGGCCCACCTCTGCTGCCAACTACTGTCTGTTTCCTCAACTGTGAAACAGAACAGAAAACTTCCTGCCCACTTGCCCTAAACATTCCCCACTCATCATCTTGACCAGTTTTGTTTCATTTTTTTCCCCCTAATCTCCCTTAGCACTATTTCAAAATGAAGGCCACACTGAGACAGACATACTAGGAAAGATTTCCCAAGATAGGGCCTGGGAACTTGGTTTTGAAGAATGGGAAGGTTAAGAGAAGAAGTGCCAGGTATTTTCCAGATCAGACATTTGGGGAAAGGACTTAGGGAATTATGAGCAGAGGAAGTAGAAATGTGGCAGGAGGACCACAGAGGAGGGATCAAAGGCGCTTCTACTGGTATAATACAGACAGGACAAGGGAAGCAGGTCATAAAGTTCTTAAATTTTTACTATGGCAAAATATACAGGACAAAAAATTACTATTTTCATGCTCCAAGACTTTTTCATCAGCTCAAACTCTGTAACCATTACACACTACCTTCCCATTCTCTTCTCCCCTCACACTTGGTAATGACTGTTTTTCTCTATAAATTTGGCTATCCTATATAACTAAACTAAACCCTTTGCTGTCTGGCTTATTTGAAGGAGCATAATGTCTTCAAGATGCATCCATGTCCTTCCTTCCTAAGTTCAAAATTTCCACTGTCCATACATTTTGTTTATTTATTTATCTGTCCATGGGTATTTGGTTTGCTTCTAGTTTCTGGTTATTGCGAACAATTCTTCTATGCACATTGGCATACAAATAGTTGTTTCTCTAAGTTTAATTCTTTAGGGTATATACCCTGAAGTATAACTACTGAGTCAAATGGTAATTCTATGTTCAAGGTTATCAAGAACCACCATACTGTTTTCCACTGCAGTAGAACCAGTTTGCATTCCCACCAGCAGCGCATTTCCACATTCTCATCAACAATTGCTTCCTGTTCTTTTGTTAGCAGCCATACTACTGGGTGTAAGTACAGTGGTACCTCATCCACACTTTCCTCATATTAACACTGCTGAGCATCTCTTCATGTGCTTACTGGCCATTTGTCTGTCTTTTAGAAAAAGATGACACACTGAAATGTTTCTTCATTTTTTAACTTTTTTTCCTGTTATTCAATTGTAGATGTTCTGTATATATTCTGGATGTTAATCCCTTAGCAGATATACATTTCCCAACTACATTTTCTGCCTTTGATAAATAAGAGTTATACATTTTGATGAAATCCAATTTCTCTATTCTGCTGTTATTGTTTCCTGTGCTTTGGTGTCATTTCAAGAAAGTATCATCAAGTTGTGTTGTAAAAATGTTTCCCGGGGCCGGCGCTGTGGCGCAGCGGGTTAATGCCCTGGCCTGAAGCGCCCGCATCCCATATGGGCGCTGGTACTGGTCCTGGCTGCTCCTCTTCTGATCCAGCTCTCTGCTGTGGTCTGGGAAAGCTGCAGAAGATGGCCCAAGTCCTTGGGCCCCTGCACCCACGTGGGAGACCCAGAGGAAGTTCCTGGCTTTAGATCGGTACAGCTCCAGCCGTTGCGGCCATCTGGGGAGTGAACCCGCAGATGGAAGACACATCTCTCTCTCTCTCTCTCTCTCTCTCTCTCTCTCTCTGCCTCTCCTTCTCTTTCTGTATAACTCTTAAAAAAAAAAAAAAAAGATGTTTCCTGTCGCTCCCCCTCTTCGCGGAGGAACGACACTAAACCCTGCGCTGTTCTTTCGTCTGCTCGGCCCTCCCCGGGTTTGCTGCTGGTTCTTCCCGGGTTGGCTACCGTCCCTTCCACCTCCGTGGAAGGGCGGTTCCCCCTGCCACTTTCCCCACTTCCGTGGGGGAGCGGCACACCGCCGGCCGGCTCTCTCGGGGGCTGCACAGGTGTTCCTTCAGATAGATGTTCCTGGTGCATGTTGTCTCTCTCCTCCTTTATAGTCCTCTTCCACCAATCCCAACTCTGCTACCCACACGCCGAGTACGCTGCTCTCCTCCAATCAGGAGCAGCTCCTGCAGCTTGTCAAGTTGGTGAGAGGCAGCTGGGTAGAAGCTGTTGCTCCTCTCCCAGCGCCATATTGTGGGAGAGCAGATGTATAGAATAAGTCTTAATTCCAGTAACAGTATAGTCCGAGTTGCTCCCCACAGTTTCCCTATGTTTGCTTCTAAGAGTTCTGTAATTTTCATCTTTACATTTTTTAAGTGTTTGATTAATTTCCAGTTAATTTTTGTATCTGGTTCTAGGTAAGGGTTCAACTTCATTCTTCTGCATGTAGATATGTGGGTTTCCCAATAACGTTTGTTAAATATACAGTTTCCACAAAGAATGGTCTTGAACTCTTGTTAAAAATCATTAGACCAGGCCGGTGCTGTGGTGTAGCAGGTAAAACTACCGCCTGCACTGCTGGCATCCCATATGGTCACCAATTTGAGTCCTGGCTGCTCCACTTCCGATCCAGCTCCCTGCTATGGCCTGGGAAAGCAGTGGAAAATGGCCCAAGTCCTTGGGCCCCTGCACCCATGTGGGAGACCTGAAGAAGCTCCTGGCTGATCGGTGCAGCTCCAGCTGAGGTGGCCAATTGGGGGGTTAAACTGCAGATGGAAGACCTCTCTCTCTCTGCCTCTCCCTTTCACTCTCTTCCTCCCCCTCCCTCTCTCTCTAATTCTTTCAAATAAGTAAAAAAATCTTTTAAAAAATCATTAGATCATATATACAAGGGTTTATTTCTGTGTTTTCTATTCTATTCTATTGGTCTGTTAAGTATTTTTTTGTCAACACCACAGTTTGGATTACTGTCGTTTTGCAAGGATATTCTGAAATCAGAAATGGTTAAGTCCTCCAACTTTGTTCTTTTTCATGATTGTTTTGAGTATTCAGAGTCCCTTCAGATTCTATATAAACTTCAGGATCAATTTTTCTACTTCCACAAACAAAAAAGATCATAGAGATTTTGACAAAGATAACACTGGACAGTTTGGGTACTATTGCCATTTTAACATTTTTTAAGTTTTCAAATCCATAAATATTTGCTATCTTTCCACTTATTTATATCTTCTTTAATTTCCTTCGGGAATGTTTTATAGTTTTCAATGGATAAATCTTTAATCACCTTGGTTAATTCTCAAGTATTTTATTCTACTTGATGCTATTCCCCCCCCCCAAAGAAATCTTTTATTTAAGGAATAAAAATTTCATAAGTACAACTTTAGGAATGTAGATATTCTTCCCAGCATACCCACCCTCTCACCCACACTCTTATCCCTCTTCCTCCTCCCTCTCCTCTTGCCAGTCTCACTGGCCATTAAGAATCATTTTCAATTAACTTTATACACAGAAGATAAACTCTATACTAAGTAAAGATTTCAACAATTTACACACACACACACACAAAATACACACAAAAGTGAGAACTAGTTTTACAGTTAACTCTCAATACAACTAACTGAAGACAGAGGTCTTGCATGGAGAGTTAGTGCACAGTGACTTCTATTGTTAATTTAACAATTAACACTCTTATATATGTTGTCAGTGACCACCTGAGGCTCTTGACATGTGCTGCCTAGGCTATGGGAGCCTTTTGAGTCCAAAAACTCCATCAATATTTGGACAAAGCAAAGTCAAAGTTCTCTCCTCCCTTTGGAGAAAAGTGCATCCTTCTTCAATGGCCACTTCTTTCCACTGGGGTCTCACTCACAGAGATCCTTCATGTAGAACATTTTTTGCTACAATGTCTTGGCTTTCCATGCCTGAAATACTCTCATGGGCTTTTCAGGCAGACCAGGATGCCTTAAGGACTGATTCTGAGATCAGAGTGCTACTTAAAGCGATTATCATTCTATGAGTGTGCTGTGTGGACTACTTCCCATATTAGAACATTCTCTCCTTTATAACTCTATCTAATATTATTACCAGGCACTTGATCCTATTTTTATGATCACTTTAACACTTAATCCTATCTATATGTTCATTTTAACACTTAATATTTGGGGCTGGTGCTGTGGCACAGCAGGTTAATGACCTGGCTTGAAGCGCTGGCATCCCATATGGGCGTCAATTTGAGACCCAGGTGCTCCACTTCCCATCCAGCTCTCTGCTGTGGCCTGGGAAAGCAGTAGAAGATGGCCCAAGTGCTTGGGCCCCTGCACTCATGTGGGAGACCTGGAAGAAGCTCCTGGCTTCAGATTCGCACAGCTCCGGCTGTTGCGGCCAATTGGGGAGTGAACCAGCGGATGGAAGACCTCTCTCTCTGCCTCTGCCTTTCCTTCTCTGTGTAACTCCAACTTTCAAATAAATAAGTAAATCTTTTTTTTTTCCAAAAAATCTCCCTCTTAGCACTTTGCCTGTATTCCCTAATTATTGGTATGCTGTTTTCATTTATCTCCAAGTATTTTCTAATTTCTCTTGAGATTCCTTCTTTATCCACTGATTGATTGAGAGTATGTTAATTTCCACAGATCAGTGATTTTCAATTTTCTTTCTATTACTAGTTTCTAAGTTCATCT